GAGGGAGAGGGAGGGAGGGGAAAAGAGAGTGGATAGGGGTGGGGTTGGGGAGCATTGTTTCGTTGCCATGTCTCACAAACATACTAGTTTAGATTTGTCACACTAAGAGAATTGTATCGCTTTATATTTTCACATCTAGGACTGCCTTTGTCCGTGTCTGATTCTCAAAAACTAAAATTTGAACCATCGATCATTCTTTTGCGGTTAGGCGTGCAGTAAAGTCAACACTTTACTTTTTAGGCGAAAAAGTAGGCCCAATATCGTAAATTACAATGTCCCTGTTGAATTTTCCGTAAAAAGTCATTCCTTCGTCCGTGGTGATGATGTCGTTGAATGAACCGTTATTTTTTTTAAAAGCCCATAAAATAAGCAAAACCAAGCATTTTCAAATTCCCTTTTTATATTAGTATTATTTATAGTCTTGGTTACGATAGCTGCTTTTAAAGTTCCCTTATTCTCTGGTTTGGTTTAGCATTAACAGAAAACAACAGCTTGGTTACCAGTATTACTTTTCACTTGTGTTTTCTTATGGTTTATGTTTCAATTTTAGAATGTTTGATATGAGTTTGTCATCTCTTCTCAGCCAGAACTGGTCTCATTGACCTTATAGTAAAAGCCTCAAGTACTCTTAATCAAATTTTAACTACTATAATTTTCTTTTTCCTGTATGGATTTTTCTTCGGCTCCGCGGGTGCATTGTTCATTGTCAGACATTGACAGACGTACCATTAAGGCAACAGAAAGTGTTGTGTACTTTGAACTTGAATTCCATTCCTCTACTCGAGTTATCGTGGGTTTTTTTTTACCTCACCAAATTGCAACTCTTTAGAATTTTGTTACGTTTAACCCACAGCGACTGGGAAGCCCCCTAGTGATGTGGTTCGACACTTCATGCAAGTGACGCGTGTTCAAGTGGAAAATGTCAGTGAGTATTACTGGAACGTACACGGTGGTATAGAACTGGGTCATCAAACTATGGTCCGCATGCCAGATCCGGCCCATTCGGTCAGGTTTTAGTCTTCAAAATAATTTAAATCATTACTTGAATTCTGCAATGCAAATTAAACGTGCTTTTATATAATATAGTTCATATCATTATTGTTTTAGTGTGTTTAGTGCAGTGCTCGGCAAGTGGTTTGGTTGTTTTCATTGTATACTTTCATATACTCAGTGTATTATTTTGAACAAAATAATTATGTGGCCCACTGGCTTAGTTTTCTCTCAGTTATCCGGCTCACATTGTAGCAAAAAAAAAGGTTTTGTGACCCCTGATTTAATAATAAT